AAACAAACACTGAGTAAGAAAAAGATAGGAAGGAACTTTGGGTAGGCAACTGCAATATCTGCCACACTATTGCTATCTGAAGCAAAACACTAACCTGCAAGAGCCTGGTGTTTCTAGAACCATGCTACTTTAAGTCCAAATACTTGTAGGAAAATGAAGGGATTCCTGTACACAAAGATGGAAAGTATGAAGTTGTAACTAGCTAATTTGACCCACCTAGATCACCTTACTCAACTTCAGTTATCCTGTTTTCATTCTCAGTGGGAGTAATTAGAACCACCAAGGGAGAATGGCTACTTCGGCTGTGCTACAGTGTTGCTATTGGAAGATCACAGATTAAAGGCAGACTATAAAGCAAGGAACATGTTCCCATACTGAGCAGGCAAGCCCCTTTTGTCACTTGAATTTAGACAGAAATGCATCCTATGACATCTCAGATGGAATGTAGTGTTTCTTGTCTTAAATTCCTGGACATCTCTAAGCTATCATCTCCAGAAAAGAGTGTTTACTTGTCTAAATAAAACCCTGTTTTTACAGTTTTCACCTACCCTGTGACTCTTTGCCCTGTTATAGTAATTTAAGTGGGACACCCAATGAGTAAGTATGGTGACAACCAGAGTGTTGTCATCAACTAGAGCCTGCAAGGAAGATGTGACCCATGTCCCTTTAAGAGAAATGAAGAAAGGCCTTTGCCTGTACTATTAGTAGATGTCTATCATCCTCCTGTCTCAGATCACCAAAATAATGGGTACTTTCATATTTTGTTATTGATGGAGCAAAATTCTATTTTGTCTTAGAGGGACCATTCTTAAATACCCTTCCTTGACCCCAAGGTTTCCAGTTTTTGAACAGTTAGGAACACAGCATAGCATGGCATCAAGGTAACTAGATTTGGAAGAGGTGCAAACATAATTCAGATTTTCAGAGATTGTGAATAGCATTTTGTTATTAATTCCAATCTTCCAAATATTTACAAATGTTGAGCCCAAGTGTCTAGGGGGCAGGGTGGTTGGGGAACAATGGAGCAATGCCACAGTTTTGTGCAAGACTCAATTCAAAACATACTTGAATCCCAGTCCTCAAACTATTCCCAGCAGAGTCACTTGTGGCCTGGATTGCTCAGCCAAAGGTCCTAACTTTGCACTTCTCTTTTATTGTGTAGATAAAGCCCAACTCTTGACCATCTTTCTGGAAGACTATAGGACTGTGATTATCTGCTGTGCTTTGCATGGAGGAGCATTAAGCCATAGAAAGTTGAAGGGGTTTGTTTGGTTTGAATCTAAGCCAGGAATTACTCTCTGGTGGTGAATTTTCCATCAGAAGAATTCACGAGTCAAAGGAAAAAATAAATCAATTAAATTCAGTCCTTTTCTTTTCAGACACCTAAGTAAAATGTCAACTGGCCACATATGTACATTTCCAATCTCTTTGAAAACACAAAATTTAGTAGTAAAAAGAATACTTCATTGCTTGTGTGTGTGTGTGTGTGTGTGTGTGTGTGTGTGTGTGTGTGTGTGTGTTGCAATGCTGAGAATTGAACCTAGGACCTTGAGGATGCTAGGAAAATGCTCTACCACTGAGCTACATCTCCAGCACAAAGAGTTTTGCTTTTGCTCTAGTTAAGAACATGTTTAGTTGATACAAAAAAGCTGGGGCTTGGATTACAAAAATCTATAAAGCATTTGGAAAGCAAATACCAAGCCCCTTATATGATTTATATGCCTGAGTCCCCAACAAAAAAAATCTCCAGGAGAACCAGCTGAACATCCTCGCACCAATATGAAGAATCCAACTGTACTCTCTAATACCATCAGGGAGAACTGACTCTTCTAACACCATCAGGGATTACTGGCTGCACTCTAACACCATCAAGGAGAACTGACTGTATCCTCTAACACCAACTGTTCTCTCTAACAGCATCAGGGAAGTGATGGGATTGGGTGTCCAGTGAAGAAAACTCTGTTCTCTTCTATTCTCTCTCTCATCTTTCCTTTCTCCTTCTCTCCTCTTTCTCTCCCTTTCTTTCTCTCCCTCTCTCTCCCCTCTCCCTTTCTTTCTTGTCCCCCCCCAACTCAATCAAACAATAATACATTTAGAATTTGTTGCATTGAGCAATGCCTCAGAATACTAGTCCTGCTCCCTCGACAATCATGCTAGGAAACAAAAACCATGACAGAGAGGTGGCTGGAAAGGTTAACAGAGACACTGGCTTGGCCACATCTCCTGAGCAAAAGGTAAGGGCAAGTGAAAACACGAAAGCAACCTCTCATTTCCCACTTCAGAGGTGGCAGAGTGACAAAGGTGGTCTATGTGTGTTTCAGTCTCAGGCTGCTCTTGACCTTGGGTACTCAGAGTCAAACGTGTTTTTATTCTAGACAGAACTGTTTGGCTGGATGAACAGCACTGTAGTGGGGTCAGGGAGTGTGTGTGGAGACAATGTGCTGGAACGTAACTCCCAAACCTCAAAACATGCCCAACAATAACAACAGCATTAACCACTGACCCAAAGGCTGGGGAAATTCTATCTCCACATCTCCTTCCACCAGTAAACATAAAAATACTGTCCCTGAAGGGCCAGAAGATGCCTTTGCTGAGTGTTCCAGAAAGTGTGAAAGGACAGGGATAGCTACATTGGAAAAGTTTCCCCAATGACAAGTAAATTGGGACTTTTTCACTAGGTGAGAAAATGATTTGACTTGCAATTTTAACAATAAAGGTGTTAGATTTCAGAGTTCTCCTTATGTCACTTTTTCTTTCTCTTCTTCCTTCTCTCTTGTGTTTCTTCAACTTTTGTCTTTCTACACCCAGCCTTCCTGATTTTATGTTTCTCAAAGTAGCTCTCAGTTCCTCCTTTGTGAGTTCTATCTAATTTGCTCTTTGTCATACCTTGGGATCACTTTGGGGCTTCTCCTCTTGTCTGGATCTTGTCTCTGCTGTTACCTCCTCAAAGAGGTGTTCTCTGTCCATCTAGCTAATGTTCAGTAGTTTGTAGCTGGTGTGCTTTTCTCTCCAGGTCCCACCAAGTCCCGCCAGTCCTGGAGCCCACTTATAAAATAAACACACAGATGCTTACATTATTTAAACTGCTTGGCCATTAGCTCAGGCCTATCATTGTCTAGCTCTTACTCTTATATTTAGCCCATTTCTATTAGTCTTTACTTTGCCACATGGCTCTGGCTCGTGGCTTACCGGTACTTTATTTCTTCCTTGTCCTGGCGGCGGCTCCAGGCAGTCTCCTCTCCTTCCTCCTTCCTCAATTCTCCTCTCTGTTAGTCCCACCCATACTTCCTGTCTGGCTATTGGCCAATCAGTGTTTATTTACATAGAGCGATATCCACAGCACTTTCCCTTTTCTTTTTTAAAAAGGAAGGTTTTAACTTTAACATAGTAAAATTACATATAACAAAACAATTATTGAGCAAGAATTATAGTTACAATATTAAGGAAAATATCCTATCTATTTTATATTTGTGAGTTTAAGGTTTTGTATCTAACTTATCTTTTATCATAACTAAGGAAGATTGTAATTATCTAGCCCCACGTTGGGAGCCAGATATTGGTGAAATTACTAAGGCTACTCCACATAGTTAAAAGGAACATTTATTTAGTGGGTAACTTACAAATGAAGGGATAGGTAGGTCGTGGGGTCTGGGGAAGGTGTATCACAGTCCAGGGGTGATCTCTGGAGCTCTGCTTGGTCAACCTCCACTGTCCAGAGTCCCAAAACAGAGAGCGAGCTGGCCCATCTGGATCTCGGGTCTCCAGGGTCCTCCCTTGGCCCCGCCTTGTAGGTGTGACAGTTGCCAAAGCCTCAATGGGGGTTGGAACTTCCAGATCAAAGCTAGAATGGCTACCCACTACTGTAGTCTCTTGTCTTATTTGTCTATGTATTCTTATTTGTTACACATAGATGTACATTCCAAAAGAGTACATCTTACATGACTATCTCATGTGTTAATTCATCTCATGCCTAGCTTGTAGTTACGATTTATTTATTGGAGAGAGATAGAAAGCTATAAGCAAAATATATATGTATGAATAAATGGATAGATGAATAGACAAGAATAAATGGCTGAACAGAAATAAATGGGTAAATGAATTGATGAGTGAATAGAAATACAATGGGTGAATGAATAGATGTAATCAATAGTTTGACTTAAATATTTATCCAATTTAACCAAATCTTTTCCTTCATGATTTACACCAAAGAAACAAAACTGGACATTAAGGTTATAATTAAAGCCATGGTGGTTAACCAGTTGACGCTGTGAGAAATGAACTATAAGTTGGTTCCAGCTTTTAAAGGAGTACCTCTTTTCCTTCAAAATAGCTCTCTTATTTTGATGTGCTTTGGTGCTTAATATATAATTCAAAACTCCCAAGAAAATTCCTAAATAGTAAACTTGGAGACATTTCCTGTCTTGATCTTTTAAAGATGGAGAAACTAAACCATGTGGTAGGTAAATGAGTTGGGAATACTATGCTGGCCATGGTAGTTTCAATAAGAATGACCCCCATAGGGTTATATATTTGAATGATTAGTCATCAGTTGGCAGACCTTTTCGGAAAGATTGGGAGGTGTGGTCTTGTTAGAGTAAGATGTGGTCTTGGAAGAAGTAGGTTATTGGGAGTGGGTTTTTGAGGTTTTAAAAGTCCATGCTAGGCCCAGCATCTCTGCCTGGTGCCTATGGATCAGGATGTAAAGATCTCAGCTACTGCTACAGTGCCATGCCTGTCTGCTTCTCACCATGACAATAATGAACTAACCTTCTAGAACTGTGAGCAAGGTCCCAATTAAATGCCTTATTTTTGTAAGAGTTGCCTTGGTCATGGTGTCTCTTCACAGCTGTAGAACAATGACTAAAAAACTTAGTTAACTCCAGCCACCGGAATAAATTGTCCTTGTCCCTTAATTTAATGGACTGTTAAGAGTAGCACTTTTAACTGCCTGCCTTCTAACTATTTCTTCATTACTTGTGTGTTTTGTTTGTATGTTTTAGAATAACCTCAACTTGGAGAGTGATTCCACACCAGAAACCGGCTTTCCTCTGTCCAAAGAAGTCCCAGGGGAGCACCAAGTCCTCCACCAACCCTTCCCGAGACAGCGATTCCCTCAAGAGACTGGGCATCCTTCATTGCAAAGAGACGGTCCCAGATCCTTTCTTCTTGACCTACCAAACTTTCCAGATCTTTCCAAAGCTGATATCAATGGGCAGAATCCAAATATTCAGGTAATTCTCAGCAGCTGGCAAGTGAAGGAGAAGAAAACAGTTCGTCTTTTGTTTCCTAACCTGATTCTAACAAGCCCTGCAGCCTTACCCCCTTGCCCTTCTCAACCCCGCTCTGACTTCTGCTGAGGGCTGTATTATTCCCATTAAAATATTATTTCAACACCCTTGATGATTTCTGAGACACTGAGATATAAAAACAAAACAAAAGTGATGCACCCTGAAATTAATGAAATGTGGTGGCTATAGGAAAAGAATATCATGGCTTGTGACTAGACCATGTAACCCACAATCTATCTTCAAAGCACCCAGCAAGGTACTCCCCCTCAGTGCCTTGCTAGCTTGCCTTCAACCCCAGAAATTCCTTCAGGAGAGGACAACCTCCTAAGGAATAGACTTACCAAAACATTAAATAAGAAGGAAGTGAGAATGGAACATCCTAGACGAGAGATTGATGTATTTTATTAAAATGGGATTTTAATGAAGCCAGGGAAAAGGGACACCTGCAAGGAGTTCTTAAATTTAAAAATGATAGCATTCATCTACATTACAAGGGAAGTTTCTTCAGTCTCACCCTCCAAGCATCTTCGTGAAGGAGAAGCTATCCTCTCAGCAGCAGCTGTTCAGAGAATCACTACATGGTTTACCAAGGCCACATGATGGTAAACTATAGTTATGGAGCTTGGTTCTAGGATCTATTGCTCCCAGGAACACCCATCCACTAATCGGTGTTTCAGGGACAAACTCCTGATTGTGGGTATTGTTTGTACCTTCTCTTCTTCCTGAAGATAGCTCTCTTGACAGCTCAAAGAGGCCCTGGGCTGCCTAACCCTCACCTCACTCCAATCTCTATGTGCCTGGTTCCATATTTCCATGCTTTGCTTTGATTCCTTTCATTTGGATAAGAACAGCTTTTCCTTATTTTAGCATCATATCAAATGCCTATTAGCTTGTGTAGCAGCAGAGAGCTCCTCAACTTGGGCTCAGAGCATTCTCTCTCTCTGTCTCTGTCTCTGTCTCTGTCTCTGTCTCTCTCTCTCTCTCTCTCTCTCTCTCTGTCTCTGGTTTTTCGAGACAGGGTTTCTCTGTATCTTTGGAGCCTGTCCTGGACCTCACTTTGTAGACCAGGCTGCCTTTGAACTCACAAAGATCTGCCTACCTCTGCTTCCTGAGTGCTAGGATTAAAGGTATGTACCACCACTGCCCGCCTCTCAGATCATTCTTATTAAGTGTTTCTCCCACACCTCCAGTATGTGTGTAGTGGGGGGGGGGGGGGGGAGTGGGTGGTACATGTTTGTGTGTGATGTGAGTGGGTGTGTGTCCTTCCTCTCTCCTCCATGGCCCTTCTGACTAACTCTCCTGACACTCTGCATGATACCATTTCAGAACAGCTTTTCTCCATCAGCATTGTTTTGCTTTTTAACAATGAATGTCACTGGGAATATACCTTCATTAATGACCATCAAGCAATGGCTGTTATACAGAAAACACTACATTAGCTTATGAGACTCTAGAAAGCAGAAAGCCATATCCCTTCAGTCCCTCCTGTTGATGGCACAGGAATGACTATCCCAGCTGCCATGTAGAACAGCGCCAAATGGATCTTGAAGACAGAGGAAGAAAAAGTACTGTGTTCCCCAATAGAAGACAGAAAGAAGTAGGGCAGGGCTCTGTGAGTGCTCCACAAAGAAAAGTATGTTGGAAATCATAGTTGACAGCGCATGCTCAGCAGTCACTGCCTGTTCCAAGTAACATTTCTGATGAGTGCTATGGTCCAACGATTTATTGCAAAAACAGACCTTTTGCTCTAGTATCCTTCCTGGAACTTGCGACATGGCTCTGAAAGAGCAGGGGAGCTACCTGGGGGAGGGACAAACTGGCAGAGTAGGGACAGTTGGCTCCAAACCATTGCTCACCACTGCTCCCTATTGTGGCTTCATCTATGGAAATGTTTCATTGTTTAGAAATTTTATGCTTCCTAGGCTCAACAGCCCTCACCTCAAAGGTCCTTAGACCATGGTTAACCTTAATCTCCCCGTAGCTAGCATTTACCCAAAGGCAGGAAATCAGGGAGAGTCTTAATGCTGCAGCCTAAGCTCCTGGAGAAGTGGATTTAAGAACTGCTACAGTCAAGTTACAGAAGAGTGCTGGATTAAGGACAAAGGAACACTATGGGTTTTTGAGATGTTCTCTTATTGAATTTTGCTAGGCACCATTGTGCACCCAGTAATAAATTAAGTTTGGGACCAAACTTCTTGTGTCCTTTTTCTTTCTTTGTCCATCTGGATATGCCCAATCCCTATCCAGGCACCTTTGGGACCTTTGCAAGTACCACCTAAATGTTAAGGAAGGCCAGTGGTGCAAAGGTTGTTGGGGTCACAGGGAAAAGCTGAGCCCTCTCCTGTCCACTTGTCAGATCTGTGCAAGCGTTCAGTAAAGCAGCCAAGAAAACTACTCAGTTTTCCTCATAATAAGATGTGCTGTTCTGAGTAGAAAGTAAGAGACCTTTTGAGTCAGTTCCTCCTGGGAAAGGAGCTAACCTGTGTGGAAAGAACTAGACAGAGGCTGAGGTAAGGTAGCAGAGAATAAGGGTGGGGATAAGAGAAGGCCCCGCCCACAGAGCCAAGGATCCTCACAACATGGGGTCTCTCTGGCAGAGTCCCTTGGACTTTCACAGAATCCCCTCGGCCACCACGGAAGTGTGGCTATGGGGGGAAATCATTTGCCTTCATGCCACTAAGACTCTCAGCACCCTGCTTCTGTGGACTTGGAACAGGTGAAAGTCCCCATCAGTGCGTTTCACTTGGTTCTATCCTTACCCAGCACTGCAGCAAGAAGTTTATCTCCAAATGGTGCTACTGAAAGGGAAGCTTTGGAGGACATGGCAGGAGGAGGACAGAGCTATTCCTAGGAAGGTTTTGTGTTTTTCTAGAGGCACCTTTTAGACACCAGAGACCACAACATCTGCTAAAAGCATAGGTTTTCTATGGCTTCAAATATCAGAGTTATTGGCAGAAAGTATTTGAAATTAATACAGTTCCAACATAAAGATGTTGAAGCCAGACACCCAAACAACATGAGGCCAATACATCCCTCTGCCCACTGCATAGTCCAGTTATTCCATTCTGCTTTAGATAATCCCTGTCTATTCATCTTCCATGTGCAGAGGAGTGAGACAGAGCTGTTTAATTGATCTAATGGCTTCTTTATCCTAAAAAGAATTGAGCACCATTTCTGACCTTTTGTTTCTAGAACAAAAAGTTAGTGTGTGTCACACAGAAAGATATTCAAACAAAGGCAGCTACTGTCTCCATGTACTCCAGCGCTCACTCTCTCTTTCTCTCTGTGTTTCTCTGTATGTGTGTCTCTCTGTGTATCCCTCTTCTCTGTTTCCCTCAGTGTGAGTGTGTGTGTGTGTGTGTACATGTTCATATGCCCAGCAGCCTCTACCATCCCATGCACCACTACACTTGAGTAAACCAGTTCCCTGGTGGTCCTTTAGAACATAAGGTGCTTCCCAAAGCACGGGGAGTAATGATTTCTGGCTGGCCTCATCCAGGCCTCTCACAGCACTGTTCTTTTGTTGAAATCCACTAGCTTGACCCAGCCCATCCAGTCAAGCACAAAACCCCACTTCTCACCATGGCCCTTCAGCATTTCTCTCCTGGCTAGTGGCATGAATTTAAGTGAGGGGTGTGTCAGTGGGTAGGCTGCCAGAGCCTCCTGCGCCCCCTCCCTAGGCAAACTGCCCCTTACTCCCGCCTAGTTATCATCAGCTGGAGCCTGGGAGCCCAGCAGGAATCAATTCCCTTATCCCTGACCCCTCTGCAACTCTAAGCTCTGGAAATGTGCCCAAAGCTCCAGGGCTGGATCCTGTCCCTCCTTTGAAAATGTCTGTGCCTCTCCAAAGTGACATTCCTGAGCTTCTGCAAAGAGTTGTGTCCTTTGGGCCTCTTGACTTAGGGAGGAGAATCCTTATAAAAGCCCGACATCTGCTTCTGTGGAGTATTTTTATGCCATAAGTCAGGCAGCCTCCATTCCATGGGAAATAGAGTCCACATTAGCACTAGTTTCAGGCTGAGGAAATGAGGGAGAAGGAAGTATTATTATCTCTGCCTAGAAAGACCTGGCCTTACATTCCTAAGTTGCCTCTTTGTGTTAGATTTAAAGTAACTTAAGAAATTAGTTTCTGCTTTAAAAAAAAAAATCATTCAGGAAAGAAAGTAAATCCCCTAGGACAACTTCGACTTGAACTTTATTGCCCTTGGCTGAGTTTTTGTTCTTTGGTTGATGGTCAGATAATAAAAGACAAAAATTCCAAAATAAACTCATTATTAGACTTGCTGCATCAATTCATTACTACAGTAGTTATTCACAAAATATATCCCTTTTCTGAACCAATCTGAGGTCAGTATCCACTTCAACCAATATAATTCTTTCTTTGCCTCCATTGAGAGGGACTTAAACCCAGTGATCCACAGACCTTTCTTCTCCACCCAGACTTTTTTGCATAGCCCTAGGCCTCTAGGTGCTACAAGATATACTCAGAGGGACTGGTCAGGGTTTTACATGCTTCTGCTTCTGCTTTTCCCTCCTGTGTCTATAATACTTTTGAAATGGCCAGTCTGGCTGAGTAAGAGCCAAGAAATGACTGTGCCCTGGATAAGGACCGAAGTGTCAATGGGGACAAACCTGGACAGCTGAGATTCTCATGGGTTTCTGCTGTCGTCGTGAACTATGGGAGCCAGACTGAACTAGGTTTAGAGTCTAGCAGCACCACTCAGTCTGCTAGTCTGGGTTTCTGTAGCCCCTGGACATTTTTTTCACTTTCTCCATACCTCAGTTTTCTTGTCTATAACATTGGTGTGATAATTCCACCCACGATTACCTATGTCATCTGATCTCTGAGGGTTGAGATTATCCGTATGGAGGGCTTAGTATAGTGTTATGTGTATGGTAAGCTTTCCAGAACTGATAGATATGATTGGTAAGGATGATAGGAAAGCATCTACAATAATGATCAGGCCAGCAAGATGGCTCAGTGAGTAAAGGCCATTACTTCAGAAACCTGGCTACCTAGTTCTAACTAGCACCCACACAGATGTGAAAGGAAAGAATTGACCGACTCCACGAAGTTGTCCACAGACCTCCACACACAAATTATAATAAATATGTACACACACACACACACACACACACACACACACACACACACACACACACGGCAGTAGGGGTGGGAATACATAACTTTTTAAAGGATTATTGGGAATTAGAAGATTTACCTGGAAACCATCTCTACCCTTTTCTTTGTCATTTATCTTGGGAAGTTGATTTCCCAAAGCCAAGTTTGTGCTAGAAAATTGAGTCTAAATTTTGTAGAACAGACAATAACGTCTGGGCAGACACACTGCTACAGATCTCAGTGCACTAACCGCAATTATGTAGGGAATACCACAGTTTCTTCGGAGCATCAGCAGGTTTGAGACAAGAGGATTGAATGTCTTCCTGATCTATTTTGTGTTTTCTGCCACAGTTGTCAAGGAAGAAGGGCAGCAGAAGCCTTTGCTGCAGACATATTCCTAGATGTTCTCTGCTCTGGAGGGAATCCCTTTTCGGTCTGGGAAATTCTAATCTGCATCCATCCACCCAGTCCCTTCAGATCACAAAGCTCAGAGGAGCAACAAGAAAGAAAACTCCCCTAGGTTCACTGTGGCAGCACAGCTTACATATTCACGGTGGCCAGGCTCTTTAGCAGTTAGAATGGGGGCTGTCTTAGTCTTGCTACAGAAAATGTTTTGCAGAGTAAGAGTCAAGAGTTTGGTTCTAATATAAGTTTTAACTATTTAGCAGGAAAAAAAAAGCTGAACAGAATTACCAATTTTGGGCAGAATTGATACCTACTTTTGCATTATCCTTTGGAGCTGGAAGATTCTGTCTTACCTTGGGCCTGAAGTTTTTGAAAGAGTTCTCTTTCTTTTACTAAGTGTACTAAGGTACCTCAAGGATATATAACAGAACTAGAAAGGACAGAGAGACCTAGGGTCTTTATCAGCTTGAAGTTTTACTGTACTCACTCCATAACTCCAGTACATTCACATTTATTGCTTAAGAGATCTTTCCAAAGGTTTCCCTGACTCTAAAATACCCCACTAGAACAAGGGAAACAGGAAACAGAAAAGTAATCCCAGCCATTTGAGAAGGCATTTGCCATGCTCATTGCGTCTTTTTAATTGGATGCCTATAAAATTTCAGGTTGAAGATTAGATTTCTTCTTTTGATATCAGTTTGAGGTTTCCACATTGCTGACTGTGGGGAAGGGTGGGTCTGAAGTTTTGTTTGTGTTTTGCTTTGTTTTGTAATTCATTTGGGGCAGTGGCTAGAAATTAAAGAGAAGAAAGAAACCTCGAAGCTGTTAAGATTTAGTCATTGATATAGTTTTTGGAGTAAATTCCTATTTTGCTACCCATTGCCTTACCAGGCAAGGACTCTATTTTGTTTGGATCAGAGCAGCAATTTGAGAGGGAAAAAAATCGTATTGACGGTAATAGCTTGAAACATAAAATTGTTTTTATTCCCGGCTTGGAGAAATTGCAGGGCACATTTTGTTTAAGCAATCCCTTTGACTCCAGTCTGAATACAAATGGAGTATCGAAACTGTTGGGCATGTCACCCTCTCTTATCTTCTACTCAGAGACTGATTTCATTACCATAATTGCCTGCTTGCCTGGCTCCCCCGGCTCTTGGCAGCCTCTCTCCTCCAAGACCCTTAATATCCTTGCAGACAATTGTTGCAGCTCAGGAGTTCTATCTGCAGGCGGAGGGGGGTGGGGCTTCAAAGGAGAAAGGCTGTGTATTCAAAGACTCTGCTTTGCCCATCCTGCCATGGTAGTTTTATATATGCCATCCAGTTGTGTGTTCTTTATTCACTTGTCCTTTGAAGGATCCATGTGGGTCCTAGTAGTCATTGTTCCCTAGCAACTGTCCATTCCACCAAACAATGATAGAACACGGGTGTTGTGTTTCTTTTCTTCTCCTAGTCTTAAAACTATAGCTGAATCACATAAAACCTTCAAAATTATAAGAATAAAAGGGTTACTCACAAATTAAAGCAATGATGGCAACATGGGCTAAAGTTCATGGTGCCATTCTAGGCCTCCCACAACAGAGGAGACAGGTGTACTTGGCCTGATACATTCTCAGTATACTATGTGATCTAAGGTCACCCTCTAGGCCATACCTAGATCTCAATCCCAGGACCACTATTGGCTTGGCAGCTTCTTTGAGTGTCAGACTGAGTCCGATGCAAACCACCTCAAAGCTGTTTATCTAAAGGATGGGCACACCCCAGTGCAATTTGGCCGAGTATCTCAGCAACTCCTCAGATGTCGGGTCAGGGCAAAACCGGGAATAGATCTGCCCAGTACATCTTGCGCTGATTACTTGGAGTACGTGTTTCTGATTCATTTGCATGTAACTCTTCCAGGAGGTGTTGCAAGAACTATGTGATGGCCAAAGGAGCCCAATGAGTCTTTTATTATTTTTTTAAACAAGTTTTTCTATGCTGATTGTCTCTCAGAGCCAAGAAGCTGTGTTCTTCCAGACCTGTGACAGATTTCAAAAGTAGGCATCATTAATCCAAAGAACAAGTTCTAACCATAGCTCAGGGACTGTGTGCTTTGACCCTGCTGCTGGGACTAAACAATGGGAAAAATGAAATATCATAGCTGGAAAGGCCTTGTCCTGAGGGCCTTGTGCTCACATCTATGCAAGGCCTATAGCATCTAGCCTGCCCCTAGTACCTGGGCCTCTCTGCTCCCTCCATCTTATGAGGGGCTCCATACATCTATTAGTTACTTTTGAAAGGCAAGGTGGCAAAGTTGGTAAGAACATGGGCTCTGGACCCACATTCTCCTCATCTGCTACTTCCAAGCCCTATGACCTTCCTTTAACATCTGTGTCCCAGTTTCCCTAATCTGTAAAACGCTGTCTCATGTAGCAATCACCACAACACTCAATAGCTTGGAACAATGACCATTGGATTGCTCGTGGTCCTCTAGAACAGGAATTGTGGTAGAACTCAACCAAGAGAGCTTGTTCACGTTCCATGTGGCACCACAGTGGGTGACCCAACTGGGACTGAAAAATCCATAATAGTGTCAGTTATGAGACCTTAGCTTCAGTTTTCTTCCACGTAGTCTTTCTTTGTCTGCCCTGTCTTTATGCAGTGACCAAGGCTGGGCTTCCTTACATAGCTATGAGAACATTGCAAAGAAAATAAAATGCATGCTCCAACACGCTTTTACAGAAGCCTCAGTACATTTTTTTGGCATGTGTGTATATATGCGGTATGCATGCCAGTGCACACACATGTTCAAATATGTGTGGGTACACTTATGTATGCAGGTACACATAGGTGCAGAGGTTAATGTGGGATGCTTTGGTCAATCACATTCCACCTTTTTATATTGAGGCAGGGTCTCTCACTTAAACCCAGAGTTCTCCAATTCAGTTAATCAAGCTAGCCAGTGTGCTTTGCGGAATGCTCCGCCTTTGCCTCCCAAGATCTGCAATGACAAACAGGCTGCCATGCCTACCTGGCATTTATGTGGGTGCTCAGGATTTGAAGTCCAGTGCTCTCACTTACTAAACAGGCAAACTTTACCCACTGATCCATCCCCTCAGCCCTCCCAAACCCATGAGTGTCATTTATTTCCATTCAACTGGACCTAGTGGGTCATGAGGCTAGCCCAGATGACAATAAGTGAAAATAGACTCTGCTTGTTGATGGGAAGTATGTGTGGCACATGTGCAGGGATGTGGATTGTGAGAATTTGATAAATTCACATGGACAGAGCATTTAGAACAGTGCCTGATGTGGCACCTGCTTAATAAGTCATGCTTTGCTGTGGCTGTTCTTTCAGTACCTCAGGAACATAGACAGTGTTCCTTCAGTGAACAGTGAAAGGCTTATTAACAATTTGATCACCAGTAAACCAAGAAGCCCGTCATGCCTAGCTTCATGCCTATCTGAGGCCATACTCTTCCTAGTCGTGAAGGCCATTTCTAGACATCTTGCATTCTCTGTCACCATGTGATTGCAGCTTTCTTTCACAAGGGATGTGGCCATCCTTTTCTTCAGCTCTCTCAGACCTTCTGAGCTTGAGATTGCCAGTTCATCTGATTGCCATTGATCTGGCCTGTTCTGAATTCCCTCAGGTCACCATAGAGGTGGTCGACGGTCCTGACTCTGAAGCAGAAAAGGATCAGCATCCAGAGAATAAACCCAGCTGGTCAGTCCCCGCTCCTGACTGGCGGGCCTGGTGGCAGAGGTCCTTGTCCTTGGCCAGGACAAACAACGGGGACCAGGACTACAAGTATGACAGTACCTCAGATGACAGCAACTTCCTCAGTGTTCCTAGGGGGTGGGACCGTCCAGCCCCAGGCCACCGGACTTTTGAAGCCAAAGAGCAGCCAGAATATGGTGAGTTTACTACCCAGTAATATAAAATTGGTGGAGAGAGAAAACGAGGATGATAAAGCCTCACAGACATGAGGCCAAGCAAAACCCAGCTTACAGTATGTGGTTTTCAGGCTTCTACGAGGCATACCTCATAAAGGCTCGGTTCACAGAAGCCCTATGGAGCCATCCACAGCCACAGTTTTTTGGGAACACTGTAATTTTCAAATTACACTTGAGATATTTTTTTAGCGTCTCTGGGGTTCTTTCCTGTCTTGTCTTCTCTGAAATTTAATTTTATTTCTAAAGATGAATAAATCATCAAAGCACCTTCCCTCTATTCTTTAGCTGTAAAAGCAAAAACAAAACAAAAAATCCTATGCTGAAAACCAATGTAGGTACAATGGCTTCCTGTGACCAGACAGCTATGTCATGTCTGATGTGACCAGTGGAGTGGCCCTGGGGAATCCATGGGAACAACTTGTGTCACAGGTTGCCAAAGCAAGCTTTCCCCTCTACCATATATGTTATAACCCCAAGTTGAGACTACTAGGGTCATAAGAGAATGGGAAGCTTCCAAATTGAGTGATGGTTACATTATTTTATTAAAATAATCAAAGTTACTTTCTTACTTTAGTTATGATGAGAGACAAGGTGGAGGGATCTCAGATCCACTCTGTCACTCAACAGTTCACCCTCCTTCTTCCTTCAAACAAACACTTGATGCACCACAAACGCTCCTGTTGTCTTCTTGTGGCTTTCCCATCAGCAGACCAAGGGATGAATAATACATAATGAGGAGTGTGGAGATTTGCATGAGATTCTCCCCCCCGCCCATATGTCTCTGATATTAGAGTACTTGGTCCTCACTTGGTAACCGTTTGGAAAGAGTTAGGAGTTGTGGCCTGGTTAAAGGAGGTATATCACTCAGGATGGACTTGAGGTTACAAAAGCCGTCACCCTCCAATGTGATCTTCCTACTTCTGAGCTCTCAGCTGCTGCTCCAGTCACCTGCCGCCCGCAACTTCCACCTGTGAGCTCTAACCCCCTCCATCATGGACTCTGACACTCTGGAACTATAAGCCCCAAATAAACTCTTCCTTTTTGGGGGTGGGATTCAAGACAGGGTTTCTCTGTGTAGTTTTGGTACCCGTCCTGGATCTCGCTCTGTAGACCAAACTGGCCTCGAACTCAAAGAGATCTGCCTGGCTCTGCTTCCCAAATGCTGGGATTAAAGGTGTGCGCCATCACTGCTTGGCAAATAAACTCTTTCTTAAGTTGCCTTGGTCATGGTGTCTTATCACAGCAAAAGAAAATCATCAGATGTAAGAATGATACAGAGAGTTTCAAGCAGAGATCCAAGCAAGTACTTTTCTGTCCATGGTAGTTTCCATTCCCTAAACTGACCATGGTTAAGTTGGATGGGCACCGCTCATTGGTACCTTCATTTGCATTCAATTCTTTGAAATCCTCCAACTTTTCATGGTGTAATTTTAACAGACAATTTCACAGTCATGTTTTTTCGTGGAATTTTCTTTGTAATGTTCATTATGGCTGTATCGTTAGTACCTTAGAAAAGGGAGGCTAACTTTGGCCAGAATCAGTGTTGTTGGAAGGCAGGATAGCTAACAGGGTGTGTTGGGAATATACAGACCTCAGATATAACTCCTGCTGTGCTGAGGCTGAGCTGTATGGACATCCATAAGTATCACAAGTTTTACAACAAGCCTCAGTTTGCTTACCCATTAAAGAAGTAAAATTCTTCCTGTCGCAGGCTTAGCCTGGGAATTAAATGTAGCCATGACCATCCAGGGCTAGTAGGGCTGAGCTCCCAGTGACCACTTCCAGACCAGTTCTGGGCAGTTCAGTGGCCCCTACACTAGAACTAGTCCAAAGAGCTCTACTGTGCAGACACCACAAAAGGAAGATTTTACTGTTCTGAGCAGCATCTATGAATCCCAGCTCTCTGCTCATTGCGCTGGTGAGCATTCCTTGAGCCCTTTGATGTCACTGAACTGTCAAAACGCTACAGAAATGCTCTCAGGTACAGTTTGTTCTTGTTGTCACTGTTGTCTTTGCAATTATTGTCATTATTTGCTTGTTTTCCGCTATGAGCCACACTCCCTCTTGGTTAAGCTTTCACACAGTGTCCTCACTTGTGCTTCCAACATCATAAATTAGCTTTGTCTTCTGTTACATTTATTATAACTTCTCCATCTGTCATTAAAACAGAGAGGATTTCTCTCCTAGAAAGATGTGTTCCAGCCAGAAAGCCTTGTTCTGCCCTTTGATCTCAGGAAACAGGAATCGCCCAGAAGGTCTTTGTTAGAAGCCGATCTGGACCAGTGTATGGCAGAGGCCTCAAGATGGTGAAGATCTGCCTAGGAGATTGCTCCCCTAGAGAAATGATTAATCATGTGGCTAATTTGGGAGCAGTTAAGGATTTGCAGGAAGCCACCTACTGGTAGAATAAGTTCTTGATGGCTGCTTGTAGATAACATATTTTAGGATAGATTTTTGTGGCATATTTCTAGCAGATTTTAGAGGAAACTACTTCATGCAATCCTAGCATTCTGGATGCTGAGGCAGGAGGGTTATGAGTTTGAGGTCAGCCCAGCCTACATGGTTATCTCCTATCTCAACAAACAAACAAACCAAAACAACAAAGAAACTACCACCAGTCTGATTTAGCAGCTTCAAACAACAGAAGAAGGGTTCTCTCTTAGGAGTCTGCAGGTTGACTGAAATGTTCATCTGAGCTAAGATGGGCTAGCTTGGCTGGAGCTGAACAGTCTCCAGTGACCTCAGTAACAATGATGGGGCTCAGCGAGACAATTAGGAGTGCTGAGATGGTCAGAGCCTCTCTCCTCCTGGCCCTTAACTTCCTTGGGGTCTTTACATGCTAGTGGAATGATTCTTTTCAGCTAAAAAAGGTAAGTCTACATGCTTAGACATATTTTAGGCCTTTACTTACATCCTATTTGCCATCATCCCATTGATTGAAGCAAATCACATAGTTCAGAACCAGCATAAAATAAGGTGTAGCCAAGGAAGTGGATGTGGAAAAAGAACTTATGAGCATCATTTCTCATACACTCTGATACACCATTAGCAGTTAGTCCTTATGCTATGTAGGTTTTGTCAAACTGACACAAACTAGAGTTAACTTAGAAAAGGGAACCTCAACTAGGACTTGCCTCCATCAGACTGCCCTGTGGGCATGTCTGTGAGGGTGTTTCCTGATTAATGATTGATGTGGGGAGGCTCACTGTGAGCAGGTGGTCCTGGGTTGATTAAGAAAGCAGGCTGAGTGAGCTATGGGGAGCAAGCCAGTAGGCAATGCTCCTCCTGGTCTCTGCTTCAGTTCTTGCCTCCAGGTTCCTGCCTTGAGTTCCTGGCCTGACTTCCTTTGGTGATGGATTACAAACTATAAGCCATAAGATGGAATACACCATTTCCTCTCCTAAGTTGATTTTGGTCAATGTTTTAGCAACAAAGGAAACTAATATAGTCATTTAGATCCAGAAAACCAAAGCGAGAAGTCTAGCTCATGCATAGATTCAAATATAGGCCTCAAAGTGAGCTAAGCCCTTGAGTTGAGGGACATTGCCCCACATGTGTTGGTGCCCTTAATGAAATGAAAAGGAAAGGCTGCATGAGATTTCTGGATAGCAGAGGCCCCTTTGCTTTTATAAAGTCCAGAAGTACAACAGTTGGCCTCACTGGATTTTATCGGATGCTGCTATTCACTCCACAAGTGACATGGCTCTCATCTACATGACATAATGTTTGTTTTTCAAACTTGTCCTCTCTCTTTTTATAGTGCAAAAATATGAGAATCTTTACTTGTGCCTCTTGCTTCTCCCTTTAGCAAAATCTGGCCCAGTTTCTGTGTGCATGGTAAAAATGCAGTGTGTGCACATGTAATATAATCCACTGCATATAGATGGCATCATTGACGAGCATGCAATTGTTCCAGGCATGTCTTCAAAGTTCTGAGAGAGAGCAGTGACTATTATGTGTCAGATTCTTCTCCCTTTGGAAGCAACTTGTTCCTCCAGCCCTGCTGGGTATATGCCCCAGAGGAGATAGTAGAGAGGTTCATACTGGAAAGTGATGTTCATTTCCCTAATGTAAAATGGAAGCTTCAGACATCTGCTTGGCTATGTGGTTGGGAAACTGTTTCTTAGAAGAAATCAAAGTTTGAAAAAAATGATTGTGATGGAAGGAGATAGAGGTGGATGATGCTTCTGAAGGCAGTTATGCCATGAGAAGCTTCACCTTCAGTTAGAGAAGAGGCCATCACAGTGTCTTGTACACACACACACACACACACACACACACACACACACCACTTCTGAATAGTAGGCTGAGAAAGCTCAGCAGCCCTGTGATATCCCAGGGTGCCTTCAGAGAGGATTGTGTAAACAACAGCCCTGGTGGCTGGCACAGGACCCAAGATTCAAGTGGAAACGTGTGGAGAACATTCTTGCTGGGTCTATGTAATAGTAACCACCACAACCTATTCTGAATGAAGGGTATCCCATCCCTTCAAGGCACATAACTGCAGCCCCATGCTTAGCACTCACAGAGGCCCCAAGGCTATTGGAAGCTGTGCATAAGCCAAGAGAAATTATTATGGGGTGGTGTTACTGGAGGAAAGTCATGCTTTAGAGATCCAGGGCTTGATGCTACAGCCCAAGCTTTCCTTTCTGTTAACCTGATAACCCTGGACAAGACCCCCAGTCACTCTAAGACTTTTGTTAATATTTACTTCTGATAAGAGAAAGTCAGTCTTGATAATGTACCCACATCCCCATCCCTCTCCAACACCCCCTAGTGTGGTTTGCTGTAGATGTAACGGTCTTATTAAATAAGAAACATAGGGCCAAATGCAGAGTTAAAAGCCCAAGAGGTCAGAGCAGTAGCTAAGAGCTAAGACCAAGACCTCCTCCTTACCCCTCGCTGTCACTGTGATCCTTCCCCTCAGAAAGAGACCTACTTCCTGTGTATCTGTCATTTTATTGTCTTTCTGCTCTGCCTTCTCATTGGTTGTGAACCCAGCCACATGACTTCCTTGTCACTGCCTGTTTATACAGACCTCCAGGTCTTCTATGGTTGGTATTGAGATTAAAGGCATGTATCTCCATGCTGGCTGTGTCCTTGAACACACAGAGATCTGCCTGTCATGTGATCAGGATTAAGGGTGTGTGCTACCACTGCCAGACTTTTGCTATGGCTTGCTATTAGCTCTGAACCCCAGGCAACTTTATTTATTAACATACAAATAAAATCACATTTCAGCACAAATAAAATATCACCATAGTCTACTTTTTCTTTTCCCATGTCATTCATAACTTCTAACACACTATATAATTTACTATTTTGTATTCATTGTTCATTACACCAGGGGGTGAGGAAAACTATCCTTAATACTATATTCCACATACCTAGAATTATCCTTGACATACAGTGCAAGATCGACTAATATTCATTGGCCAGATGTTGAATAATGACTTCAAAGGATATTTCTATATTTACAATGAACACATTGGTTATTTGCTACTGTGTGACAAACCATCCTATACTCAGCACCTGAAAAAATAATAGCAGTCATGTCTCATGATTTAGTGGCTCAGGAAGTCCAGACCACTGGGCAGTTCTGCTCTCGATGGCTTCAGCTACATTCAGTTTCTAAACAGCAGTATTAGGAGCCTCCCTTCCTCTGTCAAATGTTTTCTAGTCCTTCATGTGACTCTTTTCTTTCTTTCTTCCTTTCTTCTTTCCTTCCTTCCTTCCTTCCTTTCTTTCTTTCTTTCTTTTTTTTTTTTTTTTTGGAGGCATCTCATCATTCTTGAATTTGTTTGGCCTGAACTTCTTTCATGGTGATTGGATTTATCAGAATAAACTAAACTGGAAGTCAATGGGGACCATAAGGTCAAGGCAAGACCAGATTCTGTAGAATTCTCTTCTCTTTTCTCCTTTCTCTCCTCCTCCTCTTCTTTTTCTCTCTCCCTGTTTTCCTCCCTCCCCCCTTTCTCTCTCTCTTCCTTCCCCCTGCATTCCTCTTCCTCTCCCTTCCTCTGTCCCCTCCCTCTGCCCCCTCCATTTCTATCTCCCTTCTTATTCATCTTCTTCCCCTATCCTCCCACAAGGAGGAAAGGTTTGCCCCAAGGGTTAGGTCCTAGTCATGTACAAATCAACACAGCATTGCAAACCTTTCCGTCTTCACAAAGCTGAGCGCTAACATGAACCTATAGCTGTAAGCCTTTGAGCTCAGGCTTCAACCAATTCCTTCAAGAGTGAGCATGATGTAAGTGGGAGAATACACGGCCAACAGGCAACTTGAACAGGAGACTTGGGAACTCTTTAGGTGGGGATGATGACCATCTCCCTGGCTCCCTTCCAGATTCCACAGACGGTGAGGGTGACTGGAGTCTCTGGTCTGTCTGCAGCGTCACCTGTGGAAATGGCAACCAGAAACGGACACGTTCTTGTGGCTATGCATGCATTGCAACAGAATCGAGGACCTGTGACCGTCCAAACTGCCCAGGTAATTGTGGGGCTTTGGTTCCAAGTTCTAGGGAAAGGTTTTAAGTTTATATTTTAAAACTTGAAGAAATATTTAAAAGATAAACATTTTCCTCAGAAATCTTTTGACATGAATGAGACAACTAGAGATAGCTGATAGACTTGGTGGATGAAAACATGAATTTCCTAAGTCTTAAGCAAAATTGCAGAGGCTGTGGCCTAAGGGGCAGTGCCATATTGTACTTATTTACCTTGAAGGAGGGACTCTGATCAGTTTGGGACCTTGATGTGAGAGTGTCAATGATTTGAAAAACTCATTTGAAAACAGATATTTATGTCTGATAAGGCACCCAGCATGAGTGGATTCTCATTCTCAGGAAAACCATGGAGTTAGCCCTGTCACTAACACCTGAGAGTTGCCCAAGGCTTCCCAAGAAACAAACTGGTGCAACTTAGCATTTAATTGTGATCTGATACTACAGTATCAGTGCCTTGAAAATTAAATCAGTTGCTAACTTGATGAGGATCCATGTTGGAATAAACAATAATTATGACTATGGTTGTCAAAGTTATAGCGGTTTGTCAAAATCTAGCCTACGGCCTATTTATGTAGGGACCTTCATTGTTAAAGGGATCAAACAGGAGAAACAGAGGCAACCAAGACCAGGAGTGGCCCATAAAGCCTGAACTATGAGCCTCCTGGTCCTTGACATGAAGCTTATCACCCCCTGGCCTATAGTTTTACTGTGTTCCCATTGCCAGGCAGAATACCAGCCTACAATAATATCTTCGGCCCTATCATAAAACCACACATTCCAAATGGCTTCATCTAAAGGAAATTTCTGAGACCGGAAATCTGATCCCCATACCTCAGACTTCCTTTTTCTACTCCTAGAAATGCTATTCTCAAACCAGGAACATTTGGACCCAAACAAAAGTGGAAGCACAAAGGGATTTCTGAAGAAGTGGGGGGGGGGGGCACGACCGGAACGAGGTGCATGCTGGCAGAGGGCATGCAAAGAAAATGGGGTTGAAATGTAAGAAGTGGTGGCTCCGGCTGCATGCCAGCCCTACAGACATTTACCTCTCCTAATCTTCCCTGTGCTCCTTGCAATGAGCTGAGGTGGAAGTCTGGCCAGTGGGTTTGGGATGGGGAGGAACAAAAGGAGTCAATAATAACATAAGTAGGAGGAAGCAACATTCAGGAAGAATGTGAAGAAGAAAAGAAGAAGACTATGAAGAAAAATAGAAAAGTTAAAAAAAGGTATTAAGATGAAGAAGAGGAAGATGGTCTTGGGGGAGAGAGAGACAGTGATTGTCTAGCCATATAGGAGGTCCTGGCTTCGATCCCTTAGCACCATGCAAAAGGGAGAGGAAGGAAGGGGGAGCAGCAATCAAAGGAAGAGGAGAGAGGAAGGAAAAGTGGGGAGAAGAGAAGAGAGGGGTGGAGAGAAAGGGAAGACTAAGGAGTTGATGAAAAAGATGGCAGTAAAGAGAATGAGAGTGTTCTGAGTAATTCAGTATCATTCAAACTTCCGTGACTTCTAGGTGTGTTATTTCATTTAATACTCAAAACTGCCGAGTGTTCTGAGTAATTCAGTATCATTCAAACTTCCGTGACTTCTAGGTGTGTTATTTCACTTAATACTCAAAACTGCCGAGTGTTCTGAGTAATTCAGTATCATTCAAACTTCCGTGACTTCTAGGTGTGTTATTTCACTTAATACTCAAAACTGCCGAGTGTTCTGAGTAATTCAGTATCATTCAAACTTCCGTGACTTCTAGGTGTGTTATTTCACTTAATACTCAAAACTGCCTCATGGAACAGAATTTTATTACTGTATTTGTTTGGCATTGAAACTGAGGCCCCAAATCGGCAACAAATGATAATAATGGAAGTGGAATCCATGCTCCCTGACTGGAGAGGCCATGACCTTTACTGTTACACTCTTTCTCCTTCACCATGAAGGAAGGTCTCTGGCTCAGCCACACATGGACACAATTTTACTTTGAGTTGTAGGGGCATGCCTGTGTTCTTTTCAGAGCGAGCATACAGAGCCAAGCTGGTAGGTTCTTCCCTGCTGCCATTTCACGTTTCCTTTTTGGGTACCAGGACCACTGAGATCACTGCAGCTGGCATCCCTGTGCATGCATTTTCTTCTCAGCTGTCCTTGCCCGCTTCGGTCTTTCCAGCCTTTCTGCTTTAGGAGGTTCCAGCTCCAAGGGTTCATTTGGATATACATGATTACTTTTAGCAGGGTCTCCTTCCTTATTTGTTTTGTTGAATCTCTGCTTTACTGGAATAAGCTATGGAATAAACAAGGTCTTGTAGGCTTGGTAATGATCATTCTGTAAAAGTATGTCCCCTTGAGGGCTGGAGATATGACTTTGGTGACTAAAAGCACTTGCTGCTCCTTCAGTTCCCAGTACCTATGTCAGACAGTTCAGAACCACCTGAAACTCCAGTCCCAGGAATCTGATGGCCTCTTCTGGCCTTCTCAGGCACCTGAACACACATAGCATACACATACATGCATACACACAAATAAAAATAAATATTTCTTACAACTATGTCCCTAGGCCAACCCTTGCTTGAGGGACCTAACAAAATCAGAGTGACCTCTTAAAGGACATACAGTCGGGTTCAACAGTGAAGCTAGGGTTCCCCCAAAAAACTACCGGTCTCCACTCTTTGTTCTTTCTCATGATTTAGCTTGCTGAATCTGAGTTGGGTGTGGTAATTCTGAGGGGAGATTTAAGGGAGCTGAAAGGTTTGAAGTAAACGGAGTTCAGTTCCTTAGAGTGAGTAAGGATTCTCTGTGCACCCTTCCAGGAGAATCAATAGGAGTAGACGTAGACAACCAATGAAGCAGGAACCAGGAGCTTCTGCTCTCCCTTCTGGGAGATGCTCTCCCCGAATTTCACTCGTATAACTCAACCGACTCCGCAGGGGAGAGGTGCCACTTAGTTCTCCTGACTTTAGAGAAATTAAAACTAGGCACACAAAGATGAAGTGTCCTGCCCAGGTCCACACAGCTAGTAATGATTTAAAATCAGGCAGGCAGCCATTAAAAAGAAGGTCTCGAGCACACTGCTGCCTCTGATTTAGTTTGTCACTCACCAGACAGGCACGCTGACAAGTACCCCACCACCACCCACCCCTCATCTCGCAGACAGATGGGTAAGCCCATGGACTCACTGCAGGCACATTTGGATCTGATTTTACACTGTGACTAGTATCTGGAGTTTTAATATGTTTTATGCACTGCTACCTGCTTTTACTGTTTCCTCTGTTGGCAAGTTTCTACCCACGAGTAGTAATGAGTACAAAAAGGCTTTGTTCAGGTATATTTGTTTTGTATTTGAGGGGGTGGGGGTGAATTTTTTCCATAAAACTAGGGGAAAATGAGCTCTTGTCTGTGTTTAGGAATTGAAGACACTTTCAGGACAGCAGCCACCGAAGTGAGTCTGCTTACGGGAAGCGAGGAGTTTAATGCCACCAAGTTGTTTGAAGTTGGTAAGAGTTTTTCCCTTTTTTAAATCCAAATATTGGTTCAGTGCTTTGGAGATTCATTTTGCTTTTGCAGTGCCATCCTTGGACCTATGAAAATGTTTCATTTTTCCCTTTGAGTGTCCAACGCTCCCAGGAGATTTCCTGCTCACTGACTAGACTCCAGGCAAGAAAGAGTAACCTCAGGCAAAGAAAAGCAACCCTTGCCTCCTACACTAGAATAGACTGGGCTGTAGGGCACCATGGTGAGCAACCTGCAGAGCCTCTTAGGTGAGAGACGGATTGAGTGTACCCTCCCCCTAGCACAAAGTAAGCCCACCACCCTATGAGCTCTGTCCTCACCCAGCATCCAGTAAAAGAAGTCTCCAGCAAATGGAAGGAAGAGGGGAGGAAGTTTTCTCAACATTATATACTTCCCTCCTTTGCAAGAATTTTCCATTGGTGGGGGGATCTTCAGTACATTTTTCTGTGCTTCTCACTCCTTTACTAGAAAGTGCCGGCTCAGAAGCAGCAGCCTAAGTGAACACAACAGAAAGTACACACTCAGATGCAAGCTTGCATTTCAACACAGCTTCATTTACTTCTGGATACCGTACCATTCTGTGTTGTACAAGAGTCAGATTCCTTCTGCCCCACTTGTTTTATTCCCGAACATTCTTTCGTAAACTTAAGGTTGCAGTATCTCCTCAGACAAAATTGAGCAGGCCTAAGTCTCTTTGAGTTTCCTAGCCCAACTATTAAGAGATTTAATTTTTCTCTTTCTCAGAGAACTACAGGAGACAGTCAAGGATCTGTGTAGGATAGTCTAGAAAACAGAAATACTGAAAAGAAGGGTGGCGGCACTCTGATAAAAAGGAATAACAAACAACTAGAGCATCGTTATCAGCAAGCAATAGTGGGTAGGGCCTCGACAGTCCCTCACCACATCGGGCAGTGATGGTGCCTCATCCCATCATCAGCACCCCAGCTGAGGAAGTATTGACAGCAGGAAGCCGCTGGGAGAGGGACAGTCAGCTCTCTCTAAGAGTGTTGCCGGGCGGTGGTGGCGCACGCCTTTAATCCCAGCACTCGGGAGGCAGAGCCAGGTGGATCTCTGTGAGTTCGAGGCCAGCCTGGACTACCAAGTGAGTCCCAGGAAAGGCGCAAAACTACACAGAGAAACCCTGTCTCGAAAAACCCAAAAAAAAAAAAAAAAAAAAAAAAAAAAAAAAAAAAAGAGTGTAGCCTCTAGGCAGTTGAGCATGCTCCAGTTGAAGACAACATGGCCAAGAATGTTTGGACAACACAAACTGGTCTTGATGAGAGGAAGGGGGGATTGGACAGTTAGGAAGCCAGATAGCTCTGGAAAGCTAAACATACTGTACAAAATTATCAAAGAACTAATAGTGTTTTTTTCTAAAAGATGGGGGCAGCCATGCCTCATACGGCCTTGTGTAAGGTTAATATCAAGCCATTACCACTGTGTTAAAAAAGAGTCAGATCCCTCCTGTCCCACTTTTTTAGCCCTGAAAATTCTCTCATGAAAAGAGTTTGTTGTATCTCTCCAGACTGGAAAAATCAGGTAGGCTGATTTTCCAAGACAAATCCCAGATCTGGTTTAGCTAAAATATACCTTAATTTTTACAATGCTTGTTAACATTTTTAAAAAAAAATAAATCCATTCCAACATGTCTGTAAGCCAAACTCAGGACAGTTTAGAAATTCTGTGTTAGTAGGGCCTCCACCTCACATACACAATGAAATTATATTTATTTAACGAGAGCCTTCTGCAAACACAGTTCATTGGATTTATTTTTTAAACTGACTTTAAAGATGTGAGTTTTACATCAAGTGGAAGAACAGAAGACATGATCTTTGAGGGGCAGAGAACTTCTCATGTCTCCTCATGTCACATTTCACAGGCAAGTACCTTCTGCCTTTTTGTGCAGGGTGAGGCATAAGGCCACATCAGTGCAAGGCTAAGAATACCAGAACTGAGCAGACCTATTTCAGCCAGAGTCCAGGCAAAAATGAATTGAGTACATTCAGTGTAGGTAATTGGCAAGCATTTAGTGAAGGATCATTTATTTGTAAAACTGAGCAGAGTTGATATAAACCAAGAAGGGGACCCCAAGACTGGCAACCTTGGAGAGCCCTTACCCTTCTTGATCTGATGGGACCAGCATAGGATCAGCAAGCACAGCTCCTAGGGAGAGCCACCTGACCACAGTCTCAGCTCTCCAAAGGATGCAGACAATGCGCAGTGAGAAAGGAACCAGTGACTCATTCTAGCTTTACTCTCTTCCCTCTCTGTGGTCCACAGATGGGCTTCCCACTGGACAATCCGAATAGAAGTCAGAGGTGAAAAGCCTATTGATATGGTCTACATGGATCAGGACACGTGGAGGCCAGAGGTCAACATCAGATGCTCTCCGTCTTAACTTTTTGAGACTAGGTCTCTCACTGAATTGGGAGCTCATTATTTCTACTAGACTAGCTAGCCTGAGATCCCCTATGACCCACATGTCTCTACTACGCCCCATCCAGTGCTGGAGTTACAGCCATGGTCTGATTTTTAATCGGTGCTGGGGATCTGAACTTGGGTCATCATGCTTAGCAGCAGGTATATTAAGCTATCTCTCCAGTCTCCCATCAGGTATTATTACTGGTCAAGTTTGGTTTTTACAATTAATGCTTAGCGGAAGGCCCTCCTCCTGCTACCTCTGCAACTGAAGCTTGTGCCAACTGGGGTTCTGCAAGCAGCACATGCCAGATGGGGGTGAGCATACGAGGTGACAGTGTGACACCTAAGGAAGCAGAAAAGGAGGACCAGGAAGGAAGGAAACCGACAACTCAGAGCCCCGTCCAACAGAGATTGCCAAACTAAGGGGACCAGGGAGGAGCCAGACAGCACTGCTTCCTCCATGCTTGGTCATTGACCTCCAAGGCAAGTAGGAGGCAGACAGACGATGGGAGGCAGTCAGCAAAGTGAGCAGAGCAGGCTCTCTTGGAGGAGCTCTGAAGAGGAAGTCTGGCCACCACCAGCCCTACCATGGCTCACAATCAGCATGATGGCACAAGCACCCAAAACTGTTCCTGACTGTACCTCCTAGAAATAACATTTCATTTCAGTTTTGAAATGTTTTGGCTTTGTTTGTTTGTTTGCTTTGTTTTGCTTTTAGACAAGAGAGCCAATTACTGTGGTACATGCCTGTAATCCCAGCATTCAGAGACTGAAGTGAGTTCCAGGCCAGCCTGGGACACACAATGTGACTGTCTCAAAAACAGCAATGGAAGAATGTCTAGGTTTAGGTAAACAGGGTTTTCTCTTATGGAGAAGTAAATAAATCCAGAAAGAACCAGTGGTGTGTTCATCAGACAGCTTCCTGTCACTGTGGGAAAAAAAGGACTTGAAGGAGAAAACAACTTCAAAGGAAGAAAGATTTGCTTTGGCCTCTAGTTTCAGTGCATAGTATTTGGCCTGTTGGCTTTGGACCTGTGGCAAAGCAGAACATCACGGTAAGCAGGTGATGGAGGGATGCTGTTTACCTCATGGAAACCAGGAAGGAAAAGAAGAGAGAATGAAAGTCCTGGCATCCCGAGATGCCTTTCAGTGGCACACACTGTTAACTCCTCCAAGTTCCACTATCTCTCAGTAGTACCACGTGCTGGAGACCAAGCCATCGGTCTCTGAGCTACTGATGGACATGTAAGATTCAAACTGTAACAGTGGGAAATGGGGTGGAAGTGTGGCAAGGGGGTGCAGCAGATCAAAGGGTGTTTTATCCTGGAACCAGCCAACCTGCATTCAGAAGGGACCCTGATGGAAAAGCTGTGTGTCACTTCAGCAGAGTGAGGGCCCAAGTCCAGGGGCTTAAAGAAAGGAGAGAGGTTCAGTAACGTTTGCTTAAGATGCATTCTGTTCTGATCAGTCAGTGTGGGCAAGTAGGTCAACTGATCATAAACAAGGGAAGGAAGGTAGCCCAGACTGAACTTCTCAACCAGAAATGGAGATGGGGCATTTATGAGTCTCATCTAAGTCCAATGTGAAAAGGGCTCCTTAGCAGTAGAGATGGGATGGGGACAGCGATTCTCAATATTGCTGCTTTCCAGGACAAAGTTCTTTGAATTGCTGCCACTGGGCCTACTCATTTGCCTTAGCCCTCTTTTACTTGCTATTTTGAGATAAGCTCTCACTAAGTTGCCCAGGCTGACCCTGAACTCCTTCTGTGTATCAGGCTAACCTTGGACTTATTCTCTATGCCAGATTTACCTTAAACTTATTCTGTAGACCAAGCAGACCTTGAACTTGTGATTCTCCTGCCTCAGCCTCTAGATTAGCTGGAATTACAGGTTTATATGCTCACTCCTGATCTGAGATAATAAAGTTTTTAAGTAAAGTATGACATTGTCATTGAATGGGAATCCTAAGAAGGGTTTTCTAAGTTCCTAGGTTACAGTGAGACTCTGCATTTGTTCTTCACATCTGTTTGATCCCTACCTTATATCAAATCCCCACTCCCCCTTTTGGCTATCATTTCCCCAGTGTCTGTTTCTACTGGTATCTCGGCCTCAGTCTGACAGAGAGCACACTAGGACATATGCTGATCCAATGGTCCTGACCCAAACAACCGAAAGACCATGAGAAGCCCTATGAGTTATTGGGCAGGAGCCAGGCTGAGCTGGGAACATCCTGTCCTGTCCAAGTAGAGTGTCTCTGTACACCTATACCCTGGCCGGTTGTTCCCCAGGGGCAAGACAAGAACGGCGTATGTTCAAATTTCAGTTCTTAAAGCCAGGAATGCACAATTAGAATTGGAATCCATAAATTATTTAAGACAAACTTTAAATTTAAATATATTTCGAACATATTCTTCCGACTTCCCCCAAGTCCTTCCAGATCATCTCCCCCTTCCTACCCACCCAACTTTAAGTTCTTCCTCAAAACACAAAAACCCAATATAACAATAAAACTCCCAAAACCAAGAAAACAAAATAAAACCACACCCAAAAGAGAAAAAAAAACCCACCAAACTGTAACCAAATAAAAGGAGTAGTTAACCAACATATAATTGGAATCCATAAATTCTTAAGTATTTGCAACTAAATCAACTTTTTCTTAATGCTTTAAAAACCCAACATATCACCTCTGGGCTCTGAGTTACACTCTCACTCCTTTAAGGCATCTTAGCCTGTGAATTTCACACAGTGATAATTAAAGTCCAGCAGCTGGGAGATGAATTATGTTTTAAACCACTCAGTGAGTGACAGAAATAAATAAATTCAACTCGACAAATGGTCCTTTGAGGCCTTTCTACCACATTACCACTTATTTAGGAAATTCAGTACAGCTCTCTGAATTAGCTAATTGTGTTAGGATGTATAATTAGGCTATGGTTATCTGCGATGATATTCTGCTTTTTGTTTTGTATTTGAGGGTTTTATTGGGGTTTTGTTGAGATCTGGTTTGGTTTGGGCATTTTTTTAAAGATGCTTTCAATTTAGGGATAATAACATGTTTCTACATAAAAATGTAAAAGGTGGATCAAATGCAGTGGCAGTTAAACACAGGTGAGGGAATCTTGGTAGTCATTCAATCAGTGACTTACTCTTTGCTGTCTGGTGTTTGAACATTCCTCATTCTGTAAAGTAAGGAGTTGGGAAGATGTCTTCCAAACTGAGTCGCCAAGTTCTGGGGTGATGAGAATGGCCACCATGTGTGGGGGTTATGGGTACCTGCCGGGTAGCTAATGCTAAGGAAGGACCATTGCTGGCTTCAGTGCCGTCCTCCCAGCAACCGTAGCATGTGCTTAGAGGGGTGTTTCCATCTTTTTCAGACATGGACAGCTGTGAGCGATGGATGAGCTGCAAAAGCGAGTTCTTAAAGAAATACATGCACAAGGTGATCAACGACCTGCCCAGCTGTCCTTGTTCCTACCCCACTGAGGTGGCTTACAGCACGGCCGACATCTTTGACCGCATCAAGCGCAAGGACTTCCGATGGAAGGATGCTAGTGGACCCAAAGAGAAACTGGAGATCTACAAGCCTACTGCCCGGTACTGCATCCGCTCTATGCTGTCCCTGGAGAGTACCACACTGGCTGCCCAGCACTGTTGCTATGGTGATAACATGCAGCTCATCACCAGGGGCAAAGGGGCAGGCACGCCCAATCTCATCAGCACCGAGTTCTCTGCTGAGCTCCACTACAAAGTGGACGTTCTGCCCTGGATCATCTGCAAGGGCGACTGGAGCAGGTATAATGAGGCCCGGCCTCCCAATAATGGACAGAAGTGCACAGAGAGCCCTTCTGATGAGGACTACGTTAAGCAGTTCCAAGAGGCCAGGGAATACTAAAGCACTGCTGGTTTGGAGGCACAAATGCACTGATCTGCCAACTGTCACCCAGTTTTTTTAATCCACGGTTTTGTATATTTGTATATTCCACATGAGTATTTTTCTAAGTACACTAGGGGTATGCACCAGGTCTGGGGGACTGCTATGTCCATTGCCTACAAACCATATTGGAAGTCCTCCTAGTGGCTGTGTAGGCAGGAGGAGGAACCTGGGAACCATAGTGGGTGTGATTCAATTCCCACCTCCATCCAGTGCACAGGAGCAGAGAGACTGAAGTTGTAAACATTATAAGCGGTTTTTATATATAACTTATTTAATACGAATGTGACTTAAGCTTAACCTTTTCTCTGGAGTTGTCCTTGTAAAAATTATTTAATCACTTCTGAGAGAGCTCAAAAAGGAAAGGACTTGGGGGAATGGAGAGAAAAGGAATTTTGCCGTGGAAATGCATCAAATCAAGAAACCAGCCACCTTACACCTGGTGCTCTTGAGTCATAGGGTGTTTGCTGGAGTCACAGATTCCAACACTTTCTTGTCCTTAGACTAGGCAAGGGGTGGGTAGTAAGTGAATGTTTAGAGTCAAATCTAAGACATGGTTTTAAAGGGCTTTAAAATAAATAAATTTCCAGGGTGGCTCTGCTAAGGAACCCCAGCAGCAGCCTTTCTGCTCTGCCTAACAAGCTCAGAAGACTGAAGGAACTTCAGGCATAAAGCCGGGAGCGGCACTTTCCAAAAGAAAAAAGCAAAGCAAGTGGGAAAATAATATGGGCCCATTTAGTCTATTTTATTTTAATATAACAACTTTTCTCCACCAATATATTCCCAGGAAATAAATATAAAAGGGGGTGGTGAGAGCTGAAGTCTGGGAAATCCTGATTTTTTTATGTTTTGAGAAAAAAAACTGCATTATTTTTGTAAAGTATTTATTGAGTTATTGGCTATTTTGCATTGTGCAGTTAGAAGATGGTCCAGTTCTGTGGGGTAGAACTGGGAGGGCAGATGAAAAGTTGGCTCTTATGCAACCTTACCTGCAAAACTCCAGGAAAAGAGATATATAATAAAATCATAATCAAATGTGTTACCTGCATCCTTAATTTAAGATACAAATATTGTAACTACTCCAAAGGAAGCAAGACTTTCATGGGGAGAAAGCTTCAACCCAGGTAGGAATAAAATACTCACAGGTGGTCTTATGGTGGTTAGGGCAAGTCATAGCATCATTGACATCAAGTGTATCTCCCTATCCCCCAATTAGATCAAGATAATTGGCACACATATGATTTTCTTTCTCACCAAGAACTAAGAAAACCAAGCTAGAGCAAAGATTTAAGATGGGCAAGGCTACTCTAGACAAAATACAGAAATACAAGTAATATGCAGAATCAACTTACAATACAAATTATTCTTTTGCCAGCTGAGAGAAACCAAAGGTCGGAAAGAATAAACCATATTCCTTGTATCCCTGGTGATTTTGATATTCTTGATCACACACTTAAGTTCTCTGGTAAAAGTATGCTCTATGCTCCCATTAATTCTTTAAACTTTAGAATGAATTACTTACTGAGGCAATATCCATAAGATTATTTATATTTAGGTTCTGCACCTAGTGATGGAATAATAAGTCTTGTTTGGGGCTGGAGATGTGGTTCAGTAGTAGTTAAGAGCACTTACAGCTCTTGCAAAGGACATGGATTCATTTCCTAGCACCCACATGGTGGCTCACACCCATTTGTAACATTTCCAGGGGATCTGGCACCTTCTCTTGTCTTCTGTGGACACCAGGCATGCATGGTACACATACATCTATGGAGACATTCACACAAACACATAAAAATAAATAACTCTTTTTAAAAGTTCTTGTTCTCATCTGAAGGAATGCTAAGCAAGTGAACCAGCAGAAAGAGTCAACAGTCCATATATCAGACCACAACCCATAGAACCATAGAGGCTATATATATAGCATGGAGGTCCCTAGGACGACTGTGGCTTATAATAAATTTCAGTTTTACTCAATTATTGAAAAAAAAGCCAAATGAATGGAAACACATGAACTATGAACCAAAGGCTGAGGGGCCCCCAGCTGGATCAGGCCTTCTGAATAGACTCAGAGAACACCTCGTGACATAACATGGAACTGTCCCAGTGGGCACAGAGCAGAGAAGTTCTGCTTCTTGCTAACTGAAGTGTGACAACCAGAACGTGGTTTTTGTGCATAAAAAGCAAAAGGCTGCAAGACTTGAAGGTACATGGCTTGGGTTGACTCCCGCTGTGTCGGAACTCTCCATTGCAAGTGGCAAGGTTGGAACTCTAGAAATGGACTCTCTCCTACTATAGGGGAAAGGAAATATGTTGTCTCATGTCTATTAAAACAGATTTCAAACCTGAAAAAAAAAGAAAGAGGGTTTTGTTTGTAATATAGAAGAAAACATCTTTAAAGAGAGAATTGTCTGGAAATAGAATGAATTACCTTTGAGCTGATCAGTTTCTTATCAGGGCACACATGCAAGCAAAGGCCAGAGATACGGCACGTGAGAAATTCAGCTGAGTAGCATGGAGGGATGAGAATGCTCTGCAGCAAGACCTAAGGGGTGTCCTAGAGTAAGTTCAAGGCTGTGAAGAAATCCTTCTGGGGATAAGGAATGCAGCTGGAGGTTCCAGTAGAGGAGTGAGACTTTTTCTTCTGGTAATTTTAATTGACTTTTAAAATTATTTCTTTTTTTTTTTTAGATTATAATATCATTTCACCCTTTCCTTTCCTCCCTCTAAACTCCCATATACCCCTCTTCGTTCTTGTGTTCATTA